GAGATACAACTTCATAACAGTGTTTGCTAAAAATAATGGCCACCAGTCAGCTATTTTGATTGCATCTGTACAAGGACTAATAAACAAGATTATATACTACTTTGAATATAACTTAAAATGCAAACATGGAAATAAACAGCAGGAATGAAATAAAGTACAACCTTAAACTCACCCCAATATCAAACTTTGCCGTGTAGTAGTCTAAATTGCCATTATATAACGTGATATTAGTTAATTTGAGATTCTTAACTCTCTTCTCGGCACGCTGCAAGGATTCTGCTTTATTTTCAACCAATGCAATGTGACACTCTGGTAACAGGTATGCCAATGTGATACCAACATGTCCCTAAAATAAATGAATAATCTATAGAATATAATTTACGTCTACACTGACATCACAAGGCATACTAACACGCTTGAATCCTTGCTATATTATAATACTAATTGGATTTGACCATTGTTATCCACGGCATATTTGCTCAATATTTGATTTGCTCCATAACATGGGCCTTTAATGTGATTAAATTCACGATATAATCTGAGACGAATAAAAATTATACCAGCTAGTGACAGATTTGTGTTGTAGCATCAGTGATATAAGCTTGGAGAGGAATAAAAATCACAGTGAATCAGTAACAGTAACAATGTATTATAGATTTTTGATACTGTTTCACTTTTGTAATTGTCATTGGTCATTGAACATCGTTTTACTATTCTAAATAATTAAAGTTTCCATTGGCTATTGTGAATGTGGTGTGAAAGGGTAAATTAATATTACTAAATAAAATAAACCGAAGACTAACCGAGCCACTACAGAAATCCACAATAGTGTGACCAGGCAGGGCTATCGTCGTCACAGCAGATACAATATTTTCTATCTGCTGACATTTTCTTTGAGATCTTTCTTCAGTTACAGTACCTGAATATAAAGCAGTGATTGTGTAAACCAAATTAGTAATATGCAAATCAACAAAGTATTAATATTAAAGAAAGATCTATTTTGTTTATCTTGTTGTCATTTGGATCCATTCTTATTTCATGGAAGATAACAATAGTTACGTCTATTGCAAGATAATTCATTTCAAGAGAAATGCAAAATGTACATCACCTTGTATAGGCTGTACATCCTCCGGTAGATCAGACCATGAGAGTTTTATTTTATCATTTGGATGTTTGTCCATTTTTACTTCAATACCACTTGACTTCAGTTTATTAATTAACAACGGAGCATCCCTTCGCATGTTTGTCTTCAGAGTTCTCCTGAAATATGTGAACATAATTTATTCGCAAACTTTCATGGCATCAAGCACTTACATAATTTTTCATTCAAAGTATTATTTAGTTAAAAACTACGTAAATTTATTAAAAAGTCTACAAAAATATTAAGTTGCAGCTAATGCCCCTTTAAGCAGCTATGTATTTAAGCTGTAATATAGCCAAACTGAAAGGCTGCAATGATGGTATCCAAATATGGTAATTAATTTTATACACATCTTCCATATATGGAAAATCGTGTAACACATAAAGTTGCAAGTATTATAAATCATGTGACACACAAGTTCCCAAATACGGTAAATCATGTGACACACAAGTTTCCAAATATGATAAATCGTGTCACACACAAGTTCCCAAATATGGTAAATCATGTGATACACAAGTTCCCAAATATGGTAAATCATGTGATACCCAAATATGGTAAAAATTCCTAAAGTCCAAAATAATTGCTTTTAGATTATTTTAATTTTAAAACATGTAATTTATCTTGCTAGAGACAGATAAATCAAATGGGACAGGCATTTTAACATTCCAACCTGTTCGATGCACAGACAATTTTAATCTCCCAAAATGCACAATAAATCTAGATCTCTAGCTGCCACCTGTGTGACTTATTAGTCAATTGGTGTGTCTTTGTGTGCAGCTAGTTAAGCTTATTTCCTGACACACCAATGATGTAACAGAACAATATACATTGATATAGAAATCAAGATTTATTCAAAATCAGTTCTGCTAGAGGGCACACTCGTTGTCACATACCGGTATATTAAATATTATATTGTTATCATAAGATGGTACAATCATATTTACCGTGATTTTAAAATTTGTTGCTTAGAACAGACAGCAATTAAAGCTTCTGAATTGATCCTGTCACTGTCTACATCACCGAACGTCAACGCACAGATTCCAAAACGTGAGAAAGTTTCACTTATGAATGGAACAGTCATCATCTTGTTGTACCACAGCAAGATTTTAGGCATTTGACCAAGAAACGATTGGTCACCTATTTCCATGGCAACTGATAGGTACTGGTGTAAGCATGGTAACAGCACCAAGTCGGAGAGAGTCATTTCAAAACCTTCTGCAAATATATGAGGCAACACTGGCAAACTCTCCACTGGGATGATTTTTTTTGAGTGAGGATTTCGCCATTTTTTTTTCTGTGTCTTGCTTGTGGACATCAGGTACCTCAACTGTAGTTTTTGTATTTTCATGATGTAACTGCAAACGTTCCACACTAGAAACAATGTCAACATGTCCTGTTGAATGGCTGTCATCATCTTTTAAAGTTTGTTTCCCAGCAACAGCATCGCCTTGTATCTTTACAAAACTCTTACTATCGCCACCAACATTCTTTTTATAAACTTCTCGACGTTTCTTCATGATGTTGCTCATAGCAACGGGTTGTGACAAGAAACCTTCAAATTTT